TCACCATGTTGACCAGGATGGTCTCGATCTCTTGACCTCGTGATCCACCCGCCTCGGCCTCCCACAGTGCTGGGATTACAGGCTTGAGCCACCGCACCCGGCTGAATGGTTCTTTTAAAATGTAAATTAATTTTACCTGAATATATAGTTTAAGTATTGCTGGTCAATATCACTAAGAAATGAGAGAGAGAAAAAAAGTTAAATGAAATAGCAGAACTATTCTAACTACATAAAATAATCATTACCTTCTATAAATAAATCCTATTTTAATTACTACTTTTGTAAATTATCCATAAATAGAAGGAAAAGTATTTAATATTCAAAACCAGTTCCTAGTTCAATTTAAATCACACATATTTTCACCTGTGGGCAACTGTTTCCCATGTGTACATCTGTCACTTTCAAAGTAGTGTCAACTATCTTAGGCCACTGGACTGGCTTCTGGGGCTACCATATTTAACAAGTAAAAATACAGGGCAATCAAATACATTTGAACTTCAGATAAAAGTAATGTTTTAGTGTAAGTACTGTATGTTCCGAATATTACAAAAATTATTCGAGGCTTATCTGAAATTCAAATGCAACCAGGCATCCTGTATTTCACCTGGCAACTCTACTGGCTTCTTGCAACAAAAACACTTTATTAAAAGAACAAAAGGTGCTCCAAGGAGTGAAAGCCCCACATTCTCAAAGTGGATGACATTCTCTCAGGAGTCATTCCCTTCGGATCTTCTCTCTTTAGGCCTTCAGCAGGCCTCAAAACCCAGAGGACAGCTGGCCAGTCTAGGGGCACTGGCCCCATCGCTCCAGGCCTGAAGTCATATCTTTTTTCATTGACATTCACCAAGGCTGCTCCATTGACTGCCTGCAACAAAGGCCTCATTTTACCCAAGAATGGAGCCAGTAAGTGGAGAGACTTCTGGGTCTAAAGTTAGAACAGGGCTGGGGAAACAAGAAAAAGAAGGAAGGAGACTGAGACTTCCATGCCTCTTCACACACAGCTAAAGGCAGACATGTTCCAGGTGTTGGTGGACCCAGCCTGGAGTGGCCTAAACAGCAAGAAGAGGGACGGCTTTGAGGGCTAAGTCCCCTGCCCTTGCCACAACCCAGGCCTGCGGAGTCTCTGGCTGAATGGAAAAATCTCATGATACCACAAGTCTCACCCCTTTCCTTTAACCCAATCACAGCTCACCAAACATTAAGACTTTACCTCAGCTGGGTGCGTTGGCTCACGCCTGTAATCCCAACACTTTGGGAGGCCGAGGCAGGCAGATCATCTGAGGTTGGGAGTTCGAGACCAGCCTGACCAACATTGGATAAACCCCGTCTCCACTAAAAATACAAAATTTGCCGGGCATGGTGGTGCATGCCTGTAATCCCAGCTACTCAGGAGGCGGAAGCAGGAGAATCACTTGAACCCAGGAGGTGGAGGTTGCAGTGAGCCAAGATTGCATCATTGCACTCCAGCCAGGGCAACAAGAGCAAAATTCCATCTCA